AATGTAGATTCATATAAATGCGTTAAGGGACAAGAGCTAGTTAGAAATAAGCCTAAGCTATAGGCCAAGCACTCATACTAAATAAGCCTCTGAGTCATTATTTATGAGCTGGCTGCCAAAAGAAAAATCCACATACATTGCTGGGGGTACAGGTGTGTGAAAAGTTTCTGTGCCCCAATAAGCCTCTCCACCAAAACAATAATCCAGATCAGACCAAATCAAATCGAATTCGAAAATGTCCAGATTTCAGGGATATCAAAGCTTCCAGACGGCTTTCCAGCCCATTCCCCCCCCCTCCCCCAGGAGCCAGGAAAGGAAGACTGGAAAACCATCTCTGGGGTACAATTTAAATACCCTGTGGGAGTGGTCTTGAGCATCTCGGGGGACAGGCCATTCTTTGGCGTACTTCCTCAGGGGTGGAGTCTGGACTGAGACAACTCCCAGGGGAGGGGGCTTGGGATGGAGCCTCCACCTGAACATTCCAGACTCTTCGGGTATATGGATGCCAGGGGCTGGGGTGTCGCTTCCAACCAAACAGTGTGCACGACCATACTCCTTAAAGCTTTGGAGAGAAAAGCAATTCCAAATGATGGCCACTTATCTGATAGTTCACCTTTCACAGTGATCGAGGGCTAACACTTAGTGAACTTAGGTCATTATAAATGGGGAATTTATACAAGAACTTTTCATGTCAGCTGAAAGAAAAATTAGCATCTCTGGCTTGGAACTCGGGGTGCTGGGATTAAAGGAGTGTGCCAGCACACTCCTGCAAGTTGAAATTTAAAGTTATGTCAAATTACATAACGCTGGACTAAAGTGTGAGAGAGGCCGACTCCTTCTCTCCACCATTTTCCTTCTCGTCTGCATTCTCTCTCTGTTTTCCCTCTCCTGGGCGTCAAACTCAGTTCTGTATGCAGGGAAGACACTGAGCATTTGAGTCATTCCTAAGTCAAGTAAAAGTTCTGAAATACCAATAGCTAAATGTGAATTTAGGTCCTCTGGGCTTGTTAAATTCTACACAAAGGACTATGTATCATATAGCAACATGCACGGCAAGTTTAAACAACTCACAATGACCAAATATGTATTTACAGGAAACGTTGGTCTACGAGGAAATTTCAACATTGACGACTTTTATTTCCGCAAGCTTTGTCTCATCAATATACAGGGCGTGAGAAGAATCAAAATGGTTATTCTTTGGTTATGCACGCTAGACAAACAGCGTAAGGTGTGTTCTTTGGGTGAGAAGTAGACCAACACTGCTTAAAGATAACGTTCTTTACAAGCTATAAACGTGAGGAGGGAACGGTAAGCAAGGTGGAAAGGCAGCGGTGAATAGGAAAGACAGCCCTGAAGAAGACAGCGGTGAGGGTGGATTTTAGGTCTGGAAAGTTAAACAAAGCAATGGGACATTTTTGGATGAGAAAGAATTCTGTGCGGCAGGATGATTTGTTTTTCTTTTTTACTGATTTGTGGTCTGAGTTGAACAGCTGGACTGCCCCAGGAAGGGAGGAAAGAAACAGAGTAAAACTAAACATGAAGCAGAATAGTGAGCCTTGGGGCCGAGCGGGTGCCTGGTTTGGGAAGCAGGACCATCATGAGAACAACCCGTGCTGGACACGCGTGTAGGATACATGTTTTCTCACTGCAAGATCACGTCAGTGCTGACACTCGTGCTCCACGCTGCACCTGCATGACTCTCTGGGGGAACTGAGACCCCATGCTATGACTTGGCAGGTGAGGTTTGAAGGTTGCAGCGGGTTTCCGCTTCTTCCCATTTATCCCTGGACTTATTCCATGCTCATCTCTAAGGCCTGGTTCCTGCTACCAGCCTGGATCCGCTGCTGCTCCTTACTGAATTTTGTACCCATTTCATGACAAGCTTCCACAAATGCACGGCCTCCCACAGGATCTTGCCAGACCCAGGACTTTGGAACTAGAGTCTTCACACGCAGTCAGAGGAGCTGCATAATGGGCTTGGGAGAACCGCTCCCTCTAAACTTCCTTGTTCACAGGTGCCTAGATGTGGGCGCTGTGAACACTCATTTCCTTGTTCATAGGACCAAATTACGCCCAAATCCAGCCCTTCAGAGAAAGAACTCCACCAACGGTGAAACGGTGACAGCTGTTTAAATAACAACCACTTCTGCCAAGTATTAACGACACACATAAGGACAAGAAGTCACTGGGGAGGGGCTTGCATGACTTATCTCACAAAAAAGACTCTGCCAGCACTACAGCCTTGGGCAATGGTCACCACAACCTCACACCAAAAATAACTTCTGGAAGGATGTCCGTTTAATCTGAGATTATGGATGTCCATTTAACCTTAGATTATTGATGCCCCCAACCCCAGTTGGAACTCTTTAAGCCAAGTATTAATTTCAAAATACTGTACGTAATCCTGAGGCTGCTCCTGATCACCTTTTTGGCTGTAGGGTGTAATAAGGCACACACATTCTCATTCCAATAGTCTATGACCCCTTCCCCCTTTTCTCGGTGCTGTGCTCTCTCCCCTAACTCCGCCCTCCTTGCACAGGGAGAATGAAGGCCCCACGGCCAGCCGAGCTACTCTCTCAGTTCAAAGGGAATCTCTGGGATTTGCTATTAGATGGAGAAACCTTGAGCAGTCCGCCTCCCAGAACCGACTCTTATCTTTTTACGGAGGCACTTCCATGAACAAGAGTCTGGTGGATATTACAACAGCAGCAACGTCCATCCCTTCACAAAAATAGAGCAAGCAACTTCATTTGGTAGAATATAGCTTTTTTGTGGTTTTGTGTGTGTGTGTGTGTATGTGTGTATGTGTGCATGCGTGTGAGTGGGTGTGGGTGCCTGTACGCCACAGAGAACATGTGGAGGTCACAAGACAACCTCTTCGCCTTCTCGTTCCCCGCTCTGTAGACTAGTCTAACTAGCCCCGTCTCCTATCTCAGCGATCCATCTCCCCACAGTGGCGCTGGTATTACAGAAGCTTGTGTGGAATGCAAACGCGGGTCGCAGGGCTTGCACAGCTACCCACGGAGTCATCTATCTCCCCAGCCTCTGGAATACTACTCTATCAACAGTTTGAAGCACACAGAATTAAAATGCCTCATATTATATGCTCCATATAAAATGCCTGCACTAAGGCTGACTAAAAGCACAGTTTGTCCAGGATGGTGAAAGGGACTGGTTTAGAAATCAACTCCTGTACCGTACTGGAACGCCAGGGACTTGTGGGCACAGGATCCGAGAAGCCGTTTTCCCGCCTCATTGGAATATAAGAACAGACTACCAGCAGAACGCTGAATTCTCCCAGCCTCTCCAGGAAATGGGTATTTTAGGATGGGTCCCCAAAATCAGAGGATGAGAGACTTGTAAACGTCACTGAACTCAACTCCCTCAGACACAGAAGCGTCCTTCTTATCGGGCAGTTTTCAGACGCTAGATGAACACATTTAAATGTTGAGTCAGTTAGAACTAGACAGTCCAGTCCAGTTTATTAGAAAACCTGAAGACTTGAGGCAGGCACTGAAACGTTCTTCACATAACTTCTCCCGAGAAAGATTCATAAGCCAACTGTGTGCCTAGAAAGCCAATCCCTCTGAAACAAAGAAGGCACCACTTCTCTGAAATTGCAGTCCACATTCAGGGTCCAGAGTGGTTCCGAGAGACTAAGCTGTTAGCAAGCTGAAGCCGGGTCAAGAGAGGCTGCAGCAGGGATAAAGATTTCCCAAGGGGGAAACAATAGAAATGCAGTAACATCATCCCGCTGGGGTGACATCGCTGAGAGTCTGCAGACAGTCAGAGAAGAAATCGGGACCATTGTACCACTAACCCTGGCCAGGCACGTACTTCCACCACTTTCACGCGGTCCTTTCTCCCCACCCCCCTTTCGAGACAACCCTATGAGTTTCGGAATTAAATCTCTGAGCGCGGGTCCCCCGGGAAACACCAAGGGTGGGGAGGAGCGAGAGCATGAGGGAAGATCATTACCTTTGCATGTAGTGGATCAGAAACATGGCCAGCAGTATCCGGTTGGGCAGGCTGCTGAGGCGCGCGGCTGCAGGGCGAACGCACTCATACAGCGGCCAAACCATCGAGGGCAGCTCCTGCAGGAACCAGGCCGGTCGCGCCGGCAACTGGACGCCGGGATGCTGCCACGAGTAGCGGCCATAGGGAGAGCCCACATGACTGAGCAACACGACTAACACAAAGGCCAAGGCACCTTCTAGGTAGGCGAGGCTGTCCAGCAGGAGCAACTCGTCCAAGTACATCGTTGAGGTCGAGCAGCGATCTCCATGCCCGAGCGTCCAAATGGGGCCACATATAAGCCCAGGAGGAGGGAGCAGAGCGGCCCACTAGATCCCGCTCCGCAGCGGTGCGTACCTGCCCAGGGGAGGGGCAAACCACCTGTCCGGGCGGGGACTGGACCACAAGCTAGCACCACCAGACAGTGCCCTCCCGCAGAGGTTGCAGGGGAGAGCCCGACGGCGCAGGGCCCCGCCTGCGCAGAGGGCTCCGCCTCTTCCCGCCCGCGATCCGGGAGAGCTGCACGCCCGTTGGCCCAGAGCTCCTCTGGCAGCAGCCGAGCGAGCAGGAAGAGCAAGATCCCCGCTCGCCGCGCAGCCGGGGCTCCGCCCACTCGGGGCCACAGCCCCGCCCCGAAGTCATGCTTTTCCAGCCACGGTCCCGCCCCTTGGCTCTGAGCCTCCCGCACCGCCCGGCTCTGCGACCCGAGCCACGCCCCTCCACGATCTCCTTGACAGCGGCCGGGCTGCCCGCCTCTCTGCGCACGCGCCTTGTTGTGGGTCTTCCACGCAGGTGCCTGAGGCTCCGTGTCGGACGGGGTGATGCGTGCTCAGCAGCGTTGGAGGATTCTGTGCGGAAGCATCTTCTCTGTAGGATGGTCATGTTTTCCTCGCATGCGTTTCCGGCACGATCGTGTCGTTTCTTACACGGCATATATCTTGGCTTCCCCAGCTAGGACCCCGCCGCTGGGGTCCTCGGGAGTCAGCCGGAAGTACCGCGTGCGAACTGGCTGTGCTTGGTCGCGGTGTGCGCTCCGCGTGTGCAGCCGCGTGGGCCATGGGGCGGCGGGCTAGGGGCCGGCGGCTGCAGCCGCAGACTGAAGGCGCGGAGGATGACACCGAGGGAGGGAGGAAGCGCGACCAGGCGGTAGGCACAGGGAGGGAGGGGCGCCCGGTGGGCTCGGGCCTGGCGACTGGTGGGCCGGGTTAGCAGGGATGGTGGACCCGCTCAACCCCTCGCTGTTCCGCCAGGGCTGGGAAGGTGGCTATCCCGAGATCATCAAGGAGAACAAGCTCTTCGAGCACTACTATCAGGAACTCAAGATCGTGCCTGAGGGAGAGTGGGACCAATTCATGGACGCACTCCGCGAGCCCCTCCCGGCCACGCTGAGAATCACTGGTTACAAAAGGTAAATCTGATGTTCTTTGATGGGGTTGTAAACTTTGAAGCTCTGGGGAGGGAGATCGGGTGCAGGGGAGCATCCTGGGTTGCTTAGGCGTTGCGGGTGGAAGGTCAGACTATGGAGAGAAAACTCAACCCGAGAACGGTCCTGTGGGGATGGGTGAACTAACTGATGGGTTCATCTGAGGAGCATGGAAAACTTGTGGCATCCAGTTTGCCTCTCTTCTCCCCGCCAGTCATTGTACAGCATTCCTAAAACTTGTCACAAATAGAAATGAAGCTGGGTAAAAGTGCAGCATTGCGTTGAACTTATTTTTAAGGTGTATCCAACCTGTGTTCCAACGCGACACAGTAGAACTAGAGGGGTTTTGGATTTAGTAAATTGGTTTGGTTGCTTTGCGAGGTGAGTTCTTTTTAAAGTGGTAAAAATTTATTTAGTTAAAAACAAGTGTCAGCATCACTTCTAGGAGCCAAGAACTGAACATGTGGGAGAGGTACCCCAGATGCCCCCTGTAGGTATCCCACCATGCCTTCAAGCTGCTGAGCACAGAGTCCTCTGCCTAGCACCAGGACAACTTCTAGCCAGTGCTGGCAGCTCAGAGATCTACAGGACATGGAGTCTCCATCCATACCTGCTCCAGAAGCACCTCCAGATCAGAGCCACCTGAGGGGCATGCTGCCCCAGGAGCCCAGGAGAGGGGTTCAAAGGAGAAGGTGTCTTTAGAAGGACCATCCGTGGAGTCAGCATCGAAGGGCACAAAGGGAACAAGAAAACCACAGCTGTACGCAGCCAGGGAGAAGGCTCAGGACACAGGCAGGCTGGGCTTGCAGAAGCAATTCCTCTGAGGTTCAGCTCTGAGCAGGGCAGGAGGGATAGTTATACTGGAGATTGTCAGACTGGAGACCGTCGTAGCCGTCCAGCTTTAGGACCAGTTGCTCTACTGAGCCAGTCTGGAAATACTGCACTAATTTCCAGAGCATTAGATCTGTCCCCCAGTAAAACATCATAGGACATTTCTGCTACATCGTAGGAAGACAGGTCAAACTCAAGGGGAAGGGGGGAAAACCCTGGGAAAACTTTATCTGCCACAAGTTGATGGTCGTAGAGGTGCCAAGCCTGAGTTGAGTTGATTGAAATGGAAACAGGCCAGGAGTGAGTGACAGGTTTGTGACTATCCAGAATTTCTGGTTCTCATCCTCATAGAAACTACCAGGTCTTATACAGATCAGATGCTGTGGGGGTGGGTGGACCCAAAGGAGGAGCAGCCATGGTGAGGAAGAGGTGAATTCTTAAAAATTAACAATGTCGGGCTGGAGAGATGGCTCAGCGGTTAAGAGCACTGCCTGCTCTCCCAGAGGACCTGGGTTCAATTCCCAGCACCCTCGTGGCAGTCTGTAACTCCAGTTCCAGGGAATCTTGACACCTTCCTACCAAATGCACGTAAAATACAGTTAAACAAGTATTTGTAAAAAATTAACAGCCCTGGATGATTAAGGAACACTTCAGAGTTGGTTTTAGTTGTAAAGTATTTTTAGTCTTAAAGTTATTACATTTTTATCAGCTCACTTTTTCTAGGTCACTGAAAATTGCCTACTTTTTTTTTAATAGCCATGCAAAAGAAATTCTCCATTGCTTGAAGAACAGGTATTTTAAGGAGTTGGAGGACCTGGAGGTAGATGGGCAGAAAGTTGAAGTTCCACAGCCACTTAGCTGGTAGGTACAGAATCCTCTAGGCGTTTCATAGATTTCTGTTCTATTTATTGTATTGTATTGTATTTATTTTTTGTTTTTGTCCCTTGGATGCATTTCTCAGCCCTGTCAGCGCTGTTGGTGTGAAGAGCCTGGTGAACTTTTCCAGTGTCTGATACTGGTTTTTGTTTTTCCCTGATGCCTTTTCCAACCTCAGACTGGTATGCACATGTTCATAAAGGACTTACCGTTCATGTTTTGCACACGGTTCAATCCTTTGGTCTCTGATGATCCTTAGTGGCTTCTCTCACTTCTGTTCTCGTCCCAGAGTTTCCCACACCAGAGTTTTAGCGTGGTTGCTTTCCCTTCAGAAAGGGAGACCAGACTCTGCTTGGCAAAGCCTCACTCCTGGCTGGTGTGGCTTATGGCCCAGTGTTTCCTGGCACAGCCTCCGGGCAGATTCAGTCTTCCACTGTGTCGAGCAACCAAGCACTTCCGTGGTGGGGCTTTCATGACCTGTGATCCCTGAAGCCTAAGGCATAGGAAGCCTCCTGCAGTACCTGAAGTGCTCCAGTGTAGTCCAGAGGCTCCACACCTTGAGTGAACAGACTCAACAGATACTTTCAACTATGGTTTCAGGTTTCAGATTTGGGGATCGAATTTTCACAAAAGTATTTTTTTAAGTCATTGCTAGATGAGGGTGAATTTAGTTAAGTCTTTTCTGGTAACTTTGTAGGTTTTGGCTATTTTGTGCTTTTTATTTTGAAACAGGGTCTCATTGTGTAGCCCTTGCTGGTCTGGGAGTTGCTATGAACACCCTAACTCCCTTCTATTGGAATTAAAGGCCTGTGCCACCATGTCTGGCATTTGACTATTTATAAATTTGTGTTGTTATCTTTTATTTTTAAGCAATCAGCATAAAAGATTAGGGTTTTGTTAATCATGACAGATAGCTGGCCTCTCCTCACTGGCCGTTTGGATTTGTGGTCTCCTTGGCATAGTTAGGCACAACATGCTCGTTGAGATGAGTACTGGGTATCAGACACTAAAATCAGTGTTCAGTGATGATGCAAGCTTATCACTGCTGCAGAGTACAGAGACCTGAAGCTTTGTTGCTGCCCCCCCCACCCTGGTTATTTATGCATTTCTGTTAGATTTTAATAGTTTGGAAGGTAATATGTAGGAGAATGACTTGCATGTGTGTTGCTGTAGTGAATCCACGAGAAAGGAAGACGGCTGCCAGTTGTTTTGGTCGTTGACTGTTAAACGTGTGGAGGCTTCTCAGCATCTAACCGTGCTCCCCCTGGTAACTCCCCAGCTGGCCGACCTCTCCTTGAGCCTTGATTGGAGATGGTGGTCGTGGTGCCTGTGCATTGCCTGATGGGGAGGCATGTGGCCTCTCGGTTTCCCGCAGAGTGACTGCTTTACATCTCCCCCGGAGACTTTTGTGCCATAGCCCTTGTGCAGTGATTGAGCAGGAAGGCCTTGATGAGCACACGTCTACAGGACATGCTGTTGTCGCCATTCTGTACTCTGTGAAACAGACTCTTGCTTTGATAGCCCTTGAGCACCTAACTCCAGCTAATGCCATAGCTGCTTTCCTGTGTCCTTTCTAGAGTCGTGTATGGGCGTCCAGCGGAGCCTTTGGAGGAGGGAGAGGAAGGAAAGTGACTCTTTCTCTGTCAACGGCTGGCAAAACTGTGGCTATGCTTAGTTTTCTGAACACAGCCCGAGTATGATAAAAGATTAACTGCTTTAGGTTCCTAATCAATAGCTTTTCCCATTATCAGTGACAGTTACTTAATCAGGTGTGCATGTCAGTGCTGGACATGTCTCAGCAGTCAGACAGCAGCTTTTTGGGACTTGTGGTTTTCTCTGCTCAAAATGCAGCCAGCCAGCCGTAGGGTCTTCTCTGGCTTTTGGCCACAGTGGGGCATAGTGTAAAAAGGTAGCAGTGCTGCTTCTGTCTTCTGAGAAACCTCAGATGGGCTTGAAAATTCTTTAAAGCATTCATTAAACAAAAAAAAAAAACCCAAACATGTTAATAGATTTTTCTTTGGGTTGCCAGCTCACAAGAATGACATGAGACTTACTATTAGCTGTGAAAGCTTAGCCCACAGCTTCAGCCTGTCCTGCTAGCTCTTACACGGTAGCCCGTTTCTGCTCATCTGCATGTTGCTAAGTGGCTTGTGGCTTTTATCTCTCCCCCTCACTTCTGTTCCTCTGCCTCTGCTGGCAACTCCGCCTTTCTTCTTCCCAAAGCTCTCTCTTTGTCCACAGAAATCCTGCCTAACCTCTTTTCCTTCCTAGCTATTGGCCGTTCAACTCTTTATTGAGCTGTTCAGAAGGCACTTTGGCAAAGACACGTCTTCAGAGTGTACAAAAAGATTATTCCACCAGTTCATGAATATTCAGTCTTAAAAGCACATGACTTAAAATATTTGCCATTGCTGGTGAGATGGTCTAGCCTTTGAACCTGCACTTGGGATGCAGGGGTAGACAAAAAAATTATGTGCGTATGTATTTGCTGACCGTTCTAAAGATGTGTGATCAATTTGTTTTTTTTTTTATTCATTTTCACTTTTGCATTTAGACATTTGGAAGTTGTAAAATATTTTAATAATGAGCTCACTAGCTGTCATACTCACTACAGGAGAACTTGAAGCTTATCTTAGTAAACTTACACCTTAACTATCGGTACTAGAAACTGACCCATGAAGAACATATAGACTATTTGTTGCTCAGACTATGTGTAGGTTGCTCCCCGTGCTTGAAATGAAAATTCAATTCTTTCTAGTAAGTGCCAGCAGTATGTGGTGTTCACACCGATGCTCTGGTGACTTGGTAATTGGTACAGTTTTACTGTCATTGGTCACAGACAAGTTTGGGGTTGCCACAAGTTATATCAAATTTGGCGTTTTGCTACCCTGTTTCAGGTGACAGAATGGCCCAGCAGATTCCTCAGATACAATGCTAGGAGCCAAAACTGGGAGTGTCTGTATTACTGCCTTCAGTGAACCAGAATGAATGCCTTATTTTTTTTTTAACTGCCTGATAAATCGAACACAACTTCAAAGTACTGTCTTGCAAGGAGGGTACTGTGTGTGTAAAGTCCAGTCAGTTCCATTTTCACAATTTAGTAGACAGAACTTATCACACGTATCTTAAAACATGGCTATTGAGTAGGGTCTTAAGATGCTCGATGCTTGTTGGCTCTCTACCACTCCCAAGTTTCAAATTCGTCACTTGTGTCTGTTTTCCAGTCAGCCTGATTTCATTGTCCTGGCTGCTTGCATGGCTACAGATTGGTACATAGAACCTTTGTGAGCATTGCTGTTAAGGGAGTTCATTGTCTGCGAACAGTCGGCAGCGACACTTGCACTCACATTGTCTCACCTGCCGAGTGTGACCTCACCTACCGAGTGTGACGCTGAGCTAACGGGGCATGGCGAGCCGTGTGCTGCGGTCACATCAGAGACCTCGTTTCCGCCTCCGTGGAAGCCAGGCCCGGTGTAGACACCTTTCCCAGTCCTGCCCTCGTGAGATAGAGTGTCCATAGGTGACACAGGGCAAGAGGCTGCATTGGTAATCCTGGTCCAGGAGGCAAAAATGAGCACGGTGGTGGTTTCCTTGTGGAACTCTTTGTATAAAAATAGACAATAGTTGAAGACAATCATGATCACATATTTGTCAAACATTTGAATATCTGCTACACGTGCCTTATTGTGTGAAAATGGTGAGTTTCTTATCTTCCATCTCCTCTCATGTAGGTACCCTGAGGAACTTGCCTGGCACACAAATTTAAGTCGGAAAATATTGAGAAAGTCCCCACTGTTGGCAAAGTTCCATCAGTTCCTGGTTAGCGAGACCGAGTGTGTAAGTTGTTTCTGTGGGTGGGCTGGGGGCCTGAAAGCACCAAGTGCTGCATCGTGGAGCATCCATTGCAGAGGGGTGTGGTCAGGACAGCCCTGCCGTCTCCTCTCTGTGGATGAGTGCAGAGGGTGTGGTCAGGACAGCCCTGCCGTCTCCTCTCTGTGGATGAGTGCAGGCCGAGGCAGTCGCTTGTGGTACTGTGTTCAGTGTAACACTCCCTTTTCTTCTGTGTACATTCTGTTTGCCTGTCGTGCATGCAAAGTACTTGGTGGGCTATGGAATTTATCTCGTTTATTTTTAATGGCATTGGTAATTCACACTTTATCCTATTGTATCTTGCCATGCATTTTTTCCTTTATTTGACATATACCAATGAAAACAAATGCTTGTAGCTGGGTGTAGCTGTGGGTCTCACAGGTGTTGTCCTTCTGTGTTGCTTTGAGCAGCCTTAGTCACGGGTCTGTAGCCAGAGGTGTCCCCAGAGCAGACATTATCTTTTCTTTTCCTGTAATGGTTAAGTGTGCACCTTGTAGCTTTCCTTTTCCTTCTTTTAGAGTCTTAATTTCATATTTAACTTGGGTTTTCCCTCTTCTTCCTGTCCACCTCTTTCTGGTCAGGTGAAGCCTTTGTGCAGCTTGACACACTTTAGTAATGCTGTGGTCCCATATCCCCTCCCGACGCCAGCCATGGCGCTCAGTTTCCATTTCCGGCTGTTTCCTGCCACTGTGGCTTTCTGTCAGAATAGGAAGAGGGCATGAATTTGCCTTGGCTTTCCCTTCCTGGTTAGGATAGTAAGAATTGAGAGCGTCTGTGTCTCTCCCTGTGGTGTGCTCTGCCCAGCTCCTCATCCATGTTTGTGGCTCAGAAAAAGACTAGCAAGCCATTAGAGAGTCAGGTTTAAGCCCTGGGAGCAGAGGCTGTGGGAACCAGTGTGGTAGGCAGCTAGTGCGTCGGTTGTGGTAAGAGGAGGGGGCTGTTGGGAAGGAAGGCTTCTAGATAGTGGGGGTTGTGTCGCTGAACAGCGTTGACTTTGTAACTTCTGCAGAGTTCTGGACCTAGAGTTGCGTGGGTAAACTGGAAGCGTAGAGTCAGTGTGCCCAGTAGAGTTAACCACGGTGCCACAGACTCACTGCTGACCAGAGACCCAAGCGGTGAAAACGGAAAGTCTGGATGTCAGTTCTGACTTGTCAGGGGTTGGTGCTGGGCCAGTGTTTTGGGTGCTGACAAGCTGGTGGCTGGTGCACAGCCCGCACAGCTTGCAGGTTGTTGGTAGAGCTGACCGAGGCAGTGCTGGTCTGCATCCCCGTCTGCCTCTGATGTGTCTCTTGTGCCTGCCAGTTCTCGTGCCCTTGTGAAAGCAGCTCGAGGGTGGTAATAGGTGTTGAAAGGGTACAGATAGGATCAGTAGCTGATGTTGCGGCTCTACAGGGAGTTGCTTAGATCTAGAAAGTGCCATGAGGGTCCCTGATAAAGCAGACCCACGGAAGAGAAGGATTGTTGCCTGATGGCCGCTTTCTTTCCTACACTTCCAGCTGCTTGCTGCTCTTAGATAGGAGGTCGGCCTTGAGGACGCTCACCCAATCCTAAGCTCAAGAGAACCCAGACTGTGGTACTAGCCTCCAGGACTTACCTGACATGCCAGCGTGGTGCTAGTGGGTCGTTCTTACGTCTTTAGATAGCAAGTGACTATCCATTAATTCGAAAATACCTCCTCATTGAATACTTTGTGTCATAGTGGAGGTTTTCCTGTTCTGGGAGGGTTACGGGACCTTTTACTATTGCCCTTCATACATGCCTGATTTGAAGTGCTGTTTTCTTATTGTTCTGGTTTTCTCCCCAAGGGAAACATCAGCCGGCAGGAGGCTGTCAGCATGATCCCGCCACTGCTGCTCAGTGTTGAGCCCCATCATAAGGTAGTGTACCAGACAGAAGATGGGAGGGGAGGGGAGAGGAGGTCCCTCTCAGTACCGCTAGCCTTTTCTTCCTGCATTTGTTTGATAATGCTATGTATTTTAAGGTTTTGTTTTTGTAGTTTTTGTCTTCTTTCTTACAGTACACATAGCTATCCAGAAATTGCTTCACTGTTAAAGGGTTTTTTGTTTTTAACTTAGCAAATTAACTATACAGGTATAAGCTGTGGTCTTTTTGGCTAAGTCATGTTGACTCCATGGAGCTCATTAGTTCTGAGCATGATTGCATAATTTTTAAGTAAATTGGTGTCTTTGTTCCTACAACTCCCTGGGAACAATGAGGAAAAGGCAGAAGGGAAGGGAATGGGTCCTTCTGTGGAGCTGACATTCGGTGTTATGTCGGGGTGACTCCTGTTCCTGGTTTCTGAGTCTGCGGCCCGCCCCCAGCGTCATTCTGTCCTGTCCTTCTGCAGGCCATGTCTCTGTCGCTCTGTGACTTCTGCTTTTATGAGCAGAGAACATTCTCTCCATCGTGTAGAATGGAATGCAAGTCAGCATATTAGAATGACTCACAAGATGGCTTAAGATCAGATGTGGAGTCCTACAGCTTTTTTAAAGTGGCATATTCTTGTTTGTTTTTGTAGATCTTAGACATGTGTGCGGCCCCTGGATCGAAGACCACACAGTTAATTGAAATGTTGCATGCAGACATGAGTGTCCCCTTTCCAGGTAATCACTGGGGGGCAGGGAAGCTGTTTTGGTGAGTTGTGGGCGACTAAAGTCCTCCACTTTCCTGCTTCCTGGGCAGTGGAGTGGCCTGTGACTATAGTGAAGATAGCACTGTGTTGATGTGTTCTCAAACCAGCACGCTCAACTCTGAGAGCCTTTCTGTGTGAGCTGTCTATACTAGGACCTGTCATAGTACACAGATCTGCTGTGCGCTTGGATAGTAGCTTCCCTGATCTGTTCAGTTTCTGCCTTAGGTGAGGAGCGAGGCATGTTGTTCTGGGTAGTTGCTGTTAGCCCCCTCCATTCAGATCCCTTCGCCTTTCAGCAGTGGCTGTGGCGGCAGTGCGCCCCCTCCCCCCAGCGGGGGGGTGATAGGCAGTGGTGTGGGGGGATAGTAGCGTGCTCATAAGGTGCAGCCATTTTTGCAGTGTGTCAGTGTCTCCTGAGTGAGGAGCACAGCATGCCTAGTGTTGGCCAGGCCAGCTTCCGTCTCTCCTGCACGGTGGCTTTCAGCGCTGCCTACCCCTACTTCTGTTTCAGTTGCATACCTACTACAGTGTAGGCAGGTCTCCCTTTGCTCGTCGTATTGACAGCTGTCTGGTTTTAGTTCTTGTCGTGCTGTCAGGGAAGGGCCTTGGCCGGCAGGAGCGGTTTCTCTGTTCCAGATGTCTTGTGGTCCTGGCCCACAAGTGGTGCTAAGTTGCTTTTGTCTTTTGCTGAAGTGTGGGAGGAAACAGAAATGAGCAAGGGCATCACTCGGGAAACTTCCCACGGGTGGTTCTGAGCTTGGGACACCAGCACCGTGTAGCAGGACCAGCTGATGGGCTCAGGTGACAGGACCCTGCCCCAAGCCTGAATTTCCTTCCAGAAATGGGCAGAGCCTCGTGTGCCCCTCTCTCTCCGTCTCCCTCATAATTCACAACAGTTGTAAGCAACTGCTGACAAATGAAACGTTTGGTATTTTCGGGTGCAGCCCTTTATCCCTTTTCTAGAAAGCCCTGCGTCTTACGTTTCAGAGCGTTCCTTCTCACCTGCCGACCAGAGGTTGTGGTTATGTGTTTCAGGGAATCCTTCTGCGCATCTCATCTGACTACAATTTTATGTTCCTAGAGGGATTTGTTATCGCAAATGACGTGGACAACAAGCGCTGCTATCTGCTTGTTCATCAGGCCAAAAGGCTGAGCAGTCCCTGCATCATGGTAGTAAACCATGATGCGTCCAGCATTCCTAGACTCACGGTAGATGTGGACGGAAGGAAAGAGATTCTCTTCTATGATCGAATTTTATGTGATGTTCCTTGCAGGTATTTATATTATTATGAGGCCAGAAAGCCCACAATCTATCAGGAAATCCAATCACATGTGGATTAGGTGAACTGGAGTAGCATGTAAACGCTGGTGCACGGGGTCATGGTAGCCAGGAGTCTGGGAAGGGCGTTATGTTGCTGGGGTGGAGCGGAGTGATGAACAACGCCAGATGAGAGATGACATCCTTGAAGAAGTGGAGTTTGACACGCATGCATGCACACCCCAGGATGAATTCCAAGATATCAGTGGGTCCATTTGCGTCCCAAGTATATTAAAAATGTTGGGGTTTTCTATTGAAGTTTGTTACTTCAGTGAAAAAATTGAAACCTTTGTGAAACTCATTTTCTTTGTGTATTGATAATTCAAATTTAATGTCAAATGACCTATCAGAGTCTTAGTAAACCTCTTTGGGGAAACATCATTTTTTAAACATTTAGTGCTTGTAGTAGCACTTAGTTAGGAAACTGTAGCTGGCAATGCCAAGTGCAGCTGAGTTAAGACGCATGGTGAGTGAATGTGAAAGCGGGGACTGCCTTAAATAACTTGCAGCACGCTGAGCAAAACCAGCGTTCTGTGTGAAGCATCCCGAGTTAAACACATGAGTCATGAATTCTCTTGTTCCTTGGTTACAGTATTTAACCTTTAAGGACCTCTGTTTTACCCATGTGGTTTTATATATGTTCTTAAAATCAAAAGAAAAACCATTTTTTTAAATATATTCTGAAAATAAGGTAGTCTTACAAACACTTGGTTACAGGCTGAAGAAATTTCTGAAATTATGGTAGGGTTTCTACCATAGGAGCCCTTGCATCCGACCAGGGTGAGGATTGTGTATCAGATCTTTCCTCCTGAAGCACAGAGGAATGAAGCTGTGCAAAGTTGTAAGAAACAGACCCTGGTAGACGAACTAGGGTGACGGGACCTGCCCTGTAAAATACACATGCAGTTAATTATCAAATCAGTGCACAAAGTTGGTAATTCAATCGGCTTGATTGAATTTACTGTGGCACAACCTTTGCAAGTGTAATTCTAGTTTTAAAATGTCATTCTGTATTAATCAGTTTTGTGAGGAGCATTTATGTAGGGG